TTTATAACAGTCTTACGATTTAGATGGTATTAATTCACTTATAGATTTAAATACTGATACTACACTCATTGTACAGTAAAGGAAATTTAGGCAACTAGAGGTAAACAAATCTGTGCTCCCACACCTAATACATGGTGAAGCAGGCATTCAAATTCCAAGAACTGTGGACTTGAGAGTTTTCTTCCTGATGTCACACAAGTCTGCGTGATGTCTTAGTACATCTGTCTTATTATTATTTTACTGTACTGTTGGTTACTCCTATTTACTTTAATGAAATTTCTTAGTACTGTATGTATATATACACAGAAAATTAAATTTTATTTTTCAGCGTTATTAACTTCATAAAACAATTTGATTAATCTTATTTTTTCTAAAATTGGCACCTTTTAAAAAGACCATTGGAATCATCCACTTCTAAAAGGTTTTGTAGAGTTATTCACCAGCTTTGTATAATTTCCTTTCATAGCCTAGAATTACCTGGAGCTAAGACTTTTGTTGAGGAGGGGCAGATATTTAGTAACATTTTCTGTGACTTCTCTTAAGAAAGGGCCGTAGCAGATTGGCTCTTGATCCTTTAGGCTTAATTGCCAAGGGGAATTACGAACATTCCTAAATTTATCATTCCAGCTGTGATTCTTTCTAGATCTAGGCTTGTCTAACTAGCTGCTTACTTTTGACACTACCAATTAGATGCCCAAGATCATCGCAAATGAAGTACATCAAAAATTAGTATAAATTTCCCAATCTAGTTAATAGCACCTTTTCTACCCAGTTGCTCAAATTAAAAGCCAGTGAGTCTGTCATCAGTATTTTCCTCATTGCCTTTCCTACCACTAACTCTATCAGCACATCATTAAGAAAAAAAAAGAGCAAAAAGACACACTTACTATGAGCACCACAAAGCATAAAGCAAAATAATATTACAGGAGTACAGTCTTCACACACAGAAACATCAAAGGGCACAAACTTTCCCAAGCTCTCATTAACCTCAAGCGTAAGCTCTGTGTAACTGGATTGTATCATAGGCATGGAACATTTTTAAGAGGACGGAGCAAACTCAAGATTATATGATAGTAGGAGCTTCCTAGTCTGGGTAGTGATGTTAAAAAAACAAAAGCAGCATCAAAATCTCTGAAGCCACTATCAGTCAGCTCTTTCCTGCAGAAACTTGAAACCGCTGAAGTAACGTAACTGTTTAAGTAGATTTTCCCCAAACTACTGGAAGGAGAGAAAAATAATTTTTGTGGGCTATCTAGACTGGTATCTCTTGACAAGTATTGTCAGTTCTACCTAAAAAATGAATTGTGAATTTATTATTCATTTCCTTTCAGCTCTACTAAGACTATCCTGGTTGGGAACTCATCTTCCCTCACTATTCTCTCCTGCCTTAGTTTTACTCTTTTTCAGTCAGTATTTTACCCAACAACTGAAGTTAACTCTTAAAAATGAACATCAGATAATATATTTCACCTAATTAAAACGACCCAGTGAATTCCCAGTATACTTGAAACAAAGTCCATGTCCCTCATGGCCTAGCATCCTGTATATGCAGCCCTATCGACCCTTACAAGTCATGCTTTAACAGTGGACTCATCTCTCATAACCAATCCTCTGCTGATGCCTTCAGTAACTATCCTCTTGGTAAGTTTATTCCAACTTAGAATTTTTATTTTTGCTATTCCTTCAATTTAGAGTGACTTCTTTTTCCTGATTCTCATTCATTTATTTATTTTCATTCATTGTCTGTCAGGATTCAACTGAAAAGATAAATACTTCTTAGAGATTCCTTCCTTGACCACCTCTGTACTCTCCAGTGCCCTTGTCGTGAGATAACAATTTTAGTTTTCATAGTACTTACTACACTCTGAACAAAAATATAAGGTTAAAAATAAGAGATTAAAAACTGTGCAAGAGGCAAAATACTGAACCTAATAAGGCAAAATGTGTTAATATAAAAAACAATAGAAGTGATGTCATCAAGATGACTCAATAAAAGATTCCCAAGTGAAGAAATAGTTTGGTTAGAATATCACTGAGAATCAACTGGACAGATAAGTGATGATAATGAAGTCACATTTTAGAAAATATAAGACAATATTTTCATTTCTAAATAAAATAGATCAAATAAAACATAATAAATGTACATTTTCTACATATACAATAATTTAAAACCCTACTAGGACACATAGAAAAGAAATTTTTTTCAAATCTTACTTTGGACAGAATATTTTTGTTTTGCAAAAATTAAAAACAAGAATTTTCCCTAAATTTTTGTGAGCACAATGAAATCGCAAAGAATAATAAAGTGTAGGAAATCTTTTTGTTTGTTTGTTTGTTTTTTATCGTCACGACCGCCTGCTTACAAGGCAGGTTCTTATGCCGCTGAGTTAAATCCCAAGCCCTCAGGAAACCTTCTATATGATAGCATAAGGTAGCAATAGTGAGATTTTGATATTGTTTTATTAGTGTATTTTAGAATAACATAATGATTGGGCTTGCTTTGGGAAGTTAGTATATGCATTTCACCACCTTAATTTCAATCCCATTTCTCCCCTCTTCTTTTCGTCCCTCTTCATGCTAATCTTCCCCGCCCAGTATGATACATTTTTAGAACTACATACATGATACTGAGGAAATGAGCTTGTGATTGGTATTTTTAAAAGTTTTATCCAATTTGCCTTTAAATATTCGTTATGGCTATGGTGGAGCATCACCTTTACTTGCTTTGGAATTTGTCCAGTGGGTGCTGAAGCACACACTTGGGGGTATCTGGGTGTGTCAGGGAGACGCGGCTTTGGGTATTTTGTCTGGTCCCTCACCACTTCCCTCCTGGGGCTGTCCCTTAGCTCTGCTTCCTGGCTGCCATGCACTTTGCTCTGCTACACCTTCAACCATGATGTTTGGAGCCAATTATGCACTGAGCCCTGAAACAGTGAGCTACATTAAAGCTTTCCTCCTTCAAGTTGTGCCAGACATTGGGACCCAGGCTATGTATTCTGCATAAAACAGAAAATACAGGCAACCTTATTTTTTAGAACTAATTAAATTTCAGATGAATCAAGCATTAAAGCATAAGAAGTACAGAAGACAGCATGGGTGCATTTTAAAAATAATCTCAGAGTTAGGGAAGGTCATTTTTAGGCACTAATCAAAATGCAAAAGTAGTAAGGTTTGATATTAACAGATAAATACATAAAAATAATACTGACAAAATTTCAAGTTCACAAAACTAATAAAAATGATAAACAGAAGGAAAATATTTGCAACATGTATAATAAAATGCTTATTTTCTTATCATAAAACCACTATTATAAGAAAAGGACAAATAACACAAGTGAAAAATGAGCAAGATATGCAAATGGCATTCACAACAAATAGCACAAAGGCCAGTGAGCATATAAAAAGATACTGAGTCTTCATGAGTAAAGAAATAAACCTTCAAAGAAAAAATTGAATACAACTTTTACCTATGATCAAAGCCAGGATGGGGAAGCATTATCGGTGTTGCTGAATATTTATGTGTATATACCACTTTGGCTTCAGTTTAGCAGTGGCTAATAAGTCCTTAAATACATGAATCATTGGCCAAGGAATTTACTTGGAGAAATGTATCTTTTAGACACATGCTCCCAGAAGTGCACAATTACATATGGACATAATTCTCTTTACATTACTCCTGAAATTCCCCAAAGTTAAACACAACCCAATTATCCACTGAAAGGGTAAGCCAGATAAGCCATATTTTTATTTTAAAATATGATTTTGTTCAAATTAACATGATAAATCTTCACGTACTGAGTTACTAAGGTGTCCAAAATACAGTTATTTAAGAAAAAACCAAGTGGTATAACGTTGTATAAAGCAGAATCAAGTTAGATTACAAAATCAAAGGGTACATATGAGCACAGACACATTCACACATACATATAAGTATAGGACATTTCTAAATCTATTTAGAAAGTTTGTGTTTTAGAAAGTTGAGATAGAAACTTAGAAAAGTGTTCTAAATGTAGAAAGCGAGAACACTGCAGTGCACTCTAAGTTATTACAGTGGTACATCAGATCATGAATTTAATTCAGTCCACAATTCAGGAAAAGATGGCCACGTTGGTGTTCATGTAGGAAAGATGGCCACACCGTGTTCCTCAGTAGATACAGAACTCACAGACAAAATCAAAAATTTGCCAAGCCCCTCTGTTTGCAAAACAAATTGTTCAACTGTTCGCAAGTGTTTGCAAACAAAAGCATTTGTGAACTGAGGTACCACTGTAGCTTAGAATTGGCAATACCGGTATACAAAGTGTTTTTTAATATTAGAGATATTAGTGCTCAAAGATAGTCCATTTTTAAAGATTTTTTGTAATTATACAGCATTGACAATGAGGGCACCTGGCTCTCAAATCTTGGTTTCTGTCATGGTTTGTCTGTGGCCCCCAGGCCTCATAAGTTTGCATTGTTCATTTGTGATGGTTCATTGTATAGTGCTTAGATTGATGGTGTCGGTGCTCCACCCACATAGGGGTGGAGCCAGGATGTGATGTAATGGCAAGAAGAAGGTGTGTTTTGCTCTTTGCTGGTTCCTTTTTGCTATTTGCAGCTGCCATGAAGGGCGGCCCAGCCAACCCACCTGCCTGGGAGCCAACTGAGTGTTTTGAAATCTTCAAAAACTATAAGAAATAAACCTTTCCTTTCCCAACTTGGGCATCAGGTATTTTGTCTAAGCGACGAGCATAAAGTAACTAAGATAATTTCTAAGTACTACTTTCTCCTAAAAGTTACCAAAGTTGCTTGAAGCAAAGGTAGATTCCAGGACAAGTATAAAGAAAGAGCTAAGATATTTCTGAAGGGAAAAAAAAAGAATAATGGTAGTCTGGAACACATGTCAGGCTATATATTAGTCATTTGCCCTTCCCTGAAAAAAAAATACCTGACACCTGCAACTTAAAGGATGAGAGGTTTGTGGTTTCAGTACACAATTCTGGTTCCAAGGCAGAGACGACATGGAGGAAGGACACCACAAAGAAAAGCTGCTTACTCCATGGCAATCAGAAAGTGGAGACAGACGAGAGAAGGATACACTCTTCCAAATCACTCCCCCAGTGGCCCACCTCCACTCCCGGGTCCACCTCTTAAGAGCACATTCAGTTACTGAACTCATGAGTGAATTCATGAGTACACTGTTCCCATGATCTAATCATCCTCAAAGTACATGAGATTTGGGGGAGATATTTTATTTTGAGTGGAAAATAGCTCCAATTTTATTCATAAAATTATTGATCAAGACAGCAAACATACATGTACAGTGCCATATATCAACAACAAAACAAGAAAGTGATGAAACATTCCAGAGAAATCTTGAAAAGTTATGGAGAACTGCAGGCCAGGCTACACATCTGGTTAAACCATGACAGCAGGACAGTTATACTCAAGCTGCTGCATTTTCTCAGTGAGCTCCTCCTTGTATTCATCTCTTTTTCTCAATTTGTTGAAGCTTGACTTTGCATTCAAGATTTTTTTCTGTCTTTGTTCAGTTTTAGCCAGGCGATTGCTTGGGCGAATGCCAACATGGATGGTCATGCCATTAGCTGCCTCATGGTATACTAACTTGATGTAGACAACACAGTTCAGTACACCTGAACTACCTTGCTGATTTTCTGATCTTTGTAGCGTCCTCGAACCACCTGGCCCTCTTTGTGCTTGCAGATGGCCAAGGAGTGGATGTGCTTTTGCTGCTGCTCCTTGGAAAGAGGGAAAGATGTGATCTTCTGGCATACATAGAAGAGGGCATTGAAGTGGTATTTGGGTTTTGGCTGAGGTCAGAGGTCAGGAAAGGATTGTACTTCATGATTATAGTTTACCAGGCACTGACTGTTTCAGGGTGGGTGCATGCTGAGACAGAAATGGGGGATGTTTTAGATATTAATCATATGGTTCAAGGAGATGTACCTGGTTATCAAGTTGACAAGGGGTGGATTGTGACCATTAGCTATAATATATCAACTTGCCTTGAGTAAAAACCTCATAGAGGATTAGTAAAACACAGCTCTGGATATGTTTGTAGATGACTGACACATAGGCCAACAAACTTAAAGGGGACACCCACTCCCCACTCCAATGTGGATGGCATCAATACACTTACAGCCTAGACAGAATAAAAAGAGAAAAAAGGGAGACAATGTGCCAATCTTCAACACTGTGTTTGGACATCATCTCCAGATTTTTCAGTCTTTCAATGTAGACTCTTACCTATGACTCTTCAATGACCTTCCAAGCTTTGATCTTTGACTTGTGACACATCTTTTATCTCTCTGATTTTGTGACTTCCATCTTAGGCTGAGCAGCTGCTGGGTCTTCTGGCTCTCAGGCACAAGAATAGCCATTGAACCTTCTTTTACTTCTGATCCTGTAAGCCTACCTAACAAATGCCTATCAAATAGTGTACACTAACCATATGTTATGTGATGAAAACTTTTTCCCCTGGATGCTGAGTTTGAGTAGCTAAGTCACACAACGTTACATAACTGACATCAAAGATCAGGGCTTCCTGGTTGATAGGAATTTACATATGTCATGTATTATTTCTGACATGCTGGGAGAGAACACATGAAATTTTATGCTCTGGGTTACACTTTAACAATGAATTTGTCCTCTTATTGGTTGTAATCTATATCATTTTCTGCAATAAACCATAACCATGAGCATCATAACAGGTTTTCTATCACTTAACTTGATTTTAGGGACCACAGAGACAATTTTTAGATATTTAAATAATTGAAGATTTCCTTTAATTGAAGAGTTTCTATAAATTTATCACAAGTGATATTTTTTGGTATTGAGGATTTAACTAAATGCCTTCCACAATGAACTACATCCCAGCCCTTTTCATATTTTCTATTTTGTTACAGGGTCTCACTAAGTTGCTAAGTTGTCCAGCCAAATGATCATTTAACCTAATGTAATTTCAAAATTCTGATTCTGAAATATTCATGGAAAAGTGAAGCATCAACTGCTAAAGCATAAAATAAGCTAAGAAAAGCTGACCACTCTGTTAAAATATATTATGAATTATGGCTCTGAAGGCGGTATGATTTTGGTACAGGGAATTAACCAGGGGAACAAAGTAGAAACTGTTCAAATCAATCCATGCTTATGTGGAATTATATTTGGCAGAAATAGAATTGTAAATCAGTGGAAAAGCAGGAACTCTTCAGGGAAGATAACTAATTACCCATTTCAAAAAATGTACTTGGATATGTACCTTGCAAATAATAATCAATTCCAGATGGACTTAAATATAAAATATAATAGCTATATGTTTAGAAGAAAATTAAAAGAGATAAATAAGTACTAAAACACCCACAAGGATTTTACATTTGTCTGCATTAATATAATTAGTTCGATAAAAGTTATCATCATGAAAATGAACAAGAAAATCCACAAAATAAGGTGAAATATTTGCAAAATGTGTCAAGAACAAGAATTCAATGCCCAAAATACATAAAAATTTGCCATTACCTAATAAGGAGGCATATGCAATCTATCAGGAAAGTGGGTAGACATAAATAGGTATTTTGCATGACATAGTGCATCAACAGCCAATAACTTTTGAAAAGATATTCCACTTCTTTAATACTCAGTAAAATGTAAATTAAAACCATGAGATATAATTTCACATCCAATAATTAGATAAAGATTAGGAACTGTGATATCAATGATTTGAAAACATGTATATCAATTAGGATTCCTTCTTTGCTATCATAATATAAATTAGTATAACAATTTCAAAATTCGATGTAGCATTGTCTTGTAAAATTGAAAACAATTTATATTCCATGAGCTAGTATTTCTTCAAAGGAATAAACCTTAGAGAAACTTTTGAACCTTTGCCTTTGAACTATGTACAATGTAGGATGGCAAATACTGGTACTTCTCTATTCCTGGAAGTGGAAGGGATGGAATAGTATAGTGTGGTTAAATTAATAAACTACAACTCCATCCTGAAACTTGGAACTGTAACATGCAATTTTCAAAAAAAAACTATATAGAGTATAATATTTGCTTTATTCTACCAAAAAAAAAAACCCCACAGCTAAGTAATGTGTCACATAAATATGCACAGGTATTAACAAAATCATAAAATCAATATAATCAAAATAAACATAAGAGTGGTTATAAACACATGTGGAGCTACAATGTACGAGTGAATAGGAAGGTGGTAAAGTGAGAAACACATAAGTAAAAGTAGCTCTCAAGTTAAGTAAGCTTATTTTATTGTTGTGTTTCATATATTTATAGACTGTAAATGTAGTGCTTTTTAATTATCAATGTCAAAATGATAAATACGCAATATATTTTAAATACAGTGAAGATAATGAAAGATGGAAGCCTAAATATAGACACATAATCTCCAGGCAACACTTATCTAGCTAATATTTCACTAACTATGAAAATTAATTATGAAATTTATGAAAAAATTTATTAATTATGAAAATTACCTAGAAACTTCTGTTTCCCTTCTGTAATTATGTGGTCTACTAATATATATATATATATATATATATATATATATATATATATATCTCCTTTTTCAATTCTACTAACACCTTACATTTTTAATGTTATTTTTGCAGTTAATCTATAATATCAGGGTATTGGCCTAGCCCCAATATCCTAAACAAGATTGGACAGCAAATAGCTTAAATAAAAGAGTCAGAAGTATGGATTTTGGAACTCCAGGAAGGTCAGGATTCTATCTTAATAGTAAGGACTCTCTGCGAGTAAAGATGAAGAAATTCTCCAAATAGCCCAGACAGTCCATATTTACTCTACAGATTTGGGGGATACAGAAAGAGAAGGGTATAAAAGCCCAAAGCACTGGAAGCTGGAACAAAGGCGGGAAATTTTTCCAATTAAGATAACGATATGATCTCTAAGGTTGGCTGCTTTATTGTTCTGGAATAGGGATTGTCAGCAGCCCATGTCCTTGACTGTCTCAGCTGTGCTGTTATCTTGACTTCAGAGCACCATGCATATGCTCTTTTCTTCTAACACCGAAGAGGTCTCTTTAAAATCAACAGTTTAACCCTTACATAGCCTGGTGTTTCACACTAAAATCTCCTCTTTAGCATTTTTACACTTTCATGTTTCTAAGAATTTTTGTAATTTAAGCGCTACAAAAGAGTGATCAAGTTTGCATAAACAACATGTTAGGGAGAATCTACAGTTCAACTAGTCTAATTTTGATTTTGTTTCTCATTTTCATTTGGGAAAACTACTTTAAATTAGAAGATACTGGCCACCTACTAACTCCCTGGAGCAGACTGTATTTTCAGACAGGGGGTATACATCTCCATTGCATGTGCTCTCCTTACAGTGTTCTACACCCTAGAGAGAGGTAAAGTCCCTTCTTTAAAATTGGGTGGGATTTTAGGACTGCTTGACTAACGGTGAGGAAGCCCAATCCCTGCAGAAAGGCTATGCACAGCTCCATCAGTGGACATTCAATATGGACTGATTGGCATGTAAATGAACAGGTGTCAACCATCTTCTGACAAAACCACAGAGACCCTGTGTGAGAATCACTGGATGAACTCAGCATCCCTAGAGACAGAATGATAAATCGTTGTTTGACTACAATAAGCACAGGTAGTTCGTTATATAGTAATAGATAACTGGGATATCCAAATTTCAGTGCAAGCAAGTTTATTTATTTATTTTTATTAGTACATGTTTGCAACACAAGAAATTTTTATTTATCTCAGGGCCTAAGTGCAAGTACTTGATGCAGTTTTTTATTTTCTTTTGAATTCCCTTCCCACTGCTCTCTCCCTGTCTCTAAATCCCCTTTGCTCATTTCCCTTCTTGTTGTTATTCCTAGCTCAAGTTTATGGCATATAATGTGTGTATTCTCTGTATTTGTCATAGTGTACATTAAAGTTTGTTATTTCCCCTTCTACTGCTCCTCTCCCATCACCCTTGGTCTCCTAAACCACTTTACATTTGTAAGTCTATTCCTTTAGTTCCTTCTATGCATCCTTCATTTTCTTCTTTATTTGAACTTTGCAGTACTTGAATAAGAGTTACCTTGTGGTATTTAAGCTTATGTGACTTGTGTGATTTATTTTACTCAACATTATATTTTCTAGGTGTATCCATTTTCCTACAAATGTCTTGAATTTATCCTTCTTTATTGCCAAATAGTATTCTGTTACATATAGATACCACATTTTCTTTATCCTTTATCTGTTGAGAGACATATAAGCTGCTTTCAGGCTCTATTTATCATGACCTATGCTGTTAGAAACATTAGTATGTATGTGTCACTGTAATATGATGTCTTTAGCTCTTTGGGAAAGATACCTAGAAGGGTAATAGCTAAGTCAAATGGAATTTCTATGTTTAGTTCTTTGATAAATCTTCATGCTGATTTGAATAATGGCTGCTAGTTTATATTCTCTCCAACAACACAGAAGAGTTCTTTTTTCATCACAGTCACATCAGCATTCGTTATATTTTATATATTAGCCATCTGAAGAATAGCTGGCAAAATGTTTTCTTATTCTGTGGGTTGCCTCTTCACTGTACAAATTGATTCCTTTGTTGAGTAGAAGCTTTTAAATTTGATACGATCCTATTTGTCTATTCTTGTTATTTCTTGTACAATTGGAATTCTGTTCCAAAAGTCCTTGCCCACACCTACTGTCTATTTTATATTCCTGTAGGTTCAATATTTCTGTCTCAAAGTTTCAATTTTTGATCCATTTTGATTTTAGTTTCATACCTGTTGAAAGATACGGGTCTAACAATTCTAAATATGGACAACTGTCATTGTGCATGTGGTAGATTCGACTCAGTGCCAAGCTGAAGTAGAGGCACCAAGCACAGTTCTCATGGAAAGAGGACTTCCTGGTGCTCAGTCCCTTCCACTGTCTATACAGGCACTTCTGGGGGGGGGGGAATGAATGACCAAGAGTCACAGGTTATTTGGCCATCAACCTCTTAACTGACTCTATATCTCTGTCTACCTTTCTATCTTGATTGTTTATAAACATAGGATTTTATTAGATTTTATTTTCCAAACCTTGAAATACAAAAGGGACACACTTTACTGGCAAATAAGGTTGCTGGTGCATCTGTCTGCAAGAAGACCTGCTGACATTTTAGCTGTGAGCTCAGATCCAAAGGTCTCGCTACACCTTTTCTGTGTTGCAGTGCTGTTCTAATCATCTCTGTTACATGGGGCTTCATACTTACTTTGCACAATGGGGAGAAGTTTATACCTCAGTGATGATTTACATGTCTAATGAAAACTAGTTTCTAATTGCAACAATTTGGTAATTTGGCCTTATGATTGAATCTAATCAGAGTGCAAAGGAATTCTATTTTTTCCACAAAACTGAAGCGCTGACCAATCTTATTTTGACCCCAAAGCAGTGGTCCCCAACTTTTTTTGGTACTAAGGACTAGTTTCCTGGAAGACTTTTTTTTCCCACAGAGCAGGGATGGGGAAAGATGGTTTCAAGATGATTCAAGCACATAACATTTAGGGTGCAACTTTGTATCTATTTTATTACATTGTAAATATATAATGAAGTAATTATGCAACTCATCATAATTAATGAGGAGTTGAAAAATTAGTGGGAGCCTCCAGCTTGTTTTTCTGCAACTAGATGGTCTTATCTTGAGGTTATGGGAGGCAGTAACGTAGGAATTACATTGTGTTTGTTTGTTTGTTTGTTTGTTTTGTCTAGTCTACTCCATAATCTGATTTTGCTTGGTCACTAGAGAAAATTCTGCTTCTCAAAGACAGGATACTGTAAATGGAAATGGGTTTTTATTTCCTTTTGTAAAAAAAAATCAGAATATTCTGCCTTGGCTTAATGTAGAGCATATGGAGATTTGAAGTTGTCTCAAATAACTTTTAAGGCCACCATAAATTGCAGTACCAAACAGCTGATCTTTTTCTGACACAGACAAAATCATTTCATCTGGATTATTTACAAGTTTGTTGCAGATTCACTCTTCCTGAGTACAGAGGTATTTTGTGATTGGAAAGTAATGTTCAGACTGTTTTGAACGCTGATGTAAATGATCATCTACCACCTGAAAAAAGAAGGTCCTGGCTTAGTCTCTTTCAAATTCTCTACTAATGTATGAAATGAAAAAAAATCCCAGTGTTTACTCATTGTCCCCTAAACCTACTTTTGCTTTGAATACAGCCATTTCATCTGCCAACTTGAAAACAGTTGTTGATCTCCCCTTACAGACAGTTGATTTTTTTTGAACAGGTTGAATAGATTGCATGAGTAAGAAAATTTTGTAACCCATCCTGTGTAACTGAAATTTGGTGCTGGTGGTGACTGTTTTAAAAAAACACTCTGAAGCAATTCTTGTACATGGAAAACTCTGACCAGTACTCTGTCTTACAAAGCCATGTTTTTTCTGTGTATAAGAGAACATGTGCTCGCTGTTGCCATCTCTTCACAGAGCTGCATGAACAGATGTGAATTAAGGACATGTACTTTAACATGATTGGTAGTTTGAATCATATCCTGTACAATGTTGTTAAGTTCAGGTAGCAGTTTGCAGCTAATCAGCATTCCCTATGGACTGCACAGTGGTACATGGACTCACATTCAGAAGAAGATTTTGACCTGACCAGTGAAACCTAGAGAGCCATCCACTCATGGCACCTGCTTGGTCTGTGCATACACCAACACAAATGATCAGTTCAACTTTGCAATAGGTAGCCATTCAATAGGTAGTCATTCAAAGATGTGAATAGTCCTGTAGCTGTGCTATTGCTTGGCAACAAACATGCGTAAAACATATCCTCATGTACATCATCTTGAAAAATGTCATGCAAAAATAAGATTATTGCCTGTCAACCTCTGGTATTGCTTGTCAACCTGCTTTTCTTATCACTGTGACTCATAAATCCTTCCTAACAATTGTGCCTCAATATCCTCTGCTATTTCATCACTTTGTCTAGTTATGGCAATAGCTGAAAAAAGAACACATGCTATTTTTTGAATTAATGATCATGAATGATGTCCTTAGTTGTAAGCAGGATTACCAATAGTAAAGGGATTCTGGGCTTTAGCAATGCAGTTAGCCACTTAGAATGATGCTATCAAGACAAACACATCGAATGCAGTGGTAACTTTCAATAATTGCTTCTGTTATTCATGTTCATACTTTTCTTCCCTTTCAAAGAGCTCAAAGTCTTGCCTTCTAACGCAGAATGCCTGTCTCCAGGTTATGGAGTAGTTTTGAATGTTTCATGGCTTTGTTGGGTAGCTGGTCACCACATAGTGTACAAAGCAGGCTTGAAGAATGTGAATCACTTGTCGCAATGAACCCATACTGTGAGTAGGATCCTTGTTACTTTCTTTTAAATGTACCTTGCTCTTTGTTTGGCAGCCTTAGTGTCTTCTGCTGTCATATCATTGGGTCTTTATCCCTTTTCAAAGAAGCTCTTTAAAACTCATTCATTTTTTATTTATTTTGAATAGGGTTAGCTTGTAGGCTTACCAAAATTGTGACTCAGAAAACTTCTTTGTGCAGGAAAGATGCATGGGAAAAAATGTGATAAATAAAATAAGAACCAGGCCACACATAGATTGAAATAGGTGCTGGGTTCTGATATTTGAAGCCTGCTACTGGGTATAGCTGTACTTGAAGTACATCAACTGACATGCCACATACAGCCTGCTGCCTGATCCACTTGTCACTTGCCATTCACAGACAGCGTTTTGATATGAGTCTGAAAATTGATTTATTTTGAACTCTGTGAAGGCAAACTCCTCTGCTAATGTGAATCTGTGTTTGCAGCTGCTCTACCTCAGATCATCAGGCATTAGATTCTTATAAACAGCAAGCAACCTGGATCCCTCACACGCCTACTTCACAGCAGGGTTCGTGCTCCTCTGGGAATATTAAGCTGCTGTTGATCTGACAGGAGGCAGAGCTCAAGCATTAATGCAAGAGGTTGAGAGCAGCTGTAAATACAGATAAAGCTTTGCTCACTTGCCTGTCACTCACTTCCTGCTGCATAGCCTGGTATGTGTCCATGGCTCAGGAATTGAGGACCCTTATTTTAAGGGTCTATGCATGAGATGATATTACTAAGCTGTAAACAATAAGATAAGAAAGTTGGGATGATAACTTTGAATGACAATTGAATTTAAATTTTTGTGTCACCTAAATACCTCTAGTATTTCCTTTCCTTATGTCTCTGAAACATAAGAACAAATGGTATTAGCATTTTATATTTTCCATACACTTCTATTCATTTTATAATTTTCTAAATTTAAGCTACCACAAATTCAGTAGAGAAAGTAGAATAAAAAGAACAGAAAGCAAACCAACACAAGAATGAACACAGTGACATTTTTCAAGTTATCATGGCATGAATATAGACACTTAATTTTTTGTCAAGTGTTGAAAAACTAATTTAGAGGAGAACTGTCAGGATCTGCTTAGAAGATGGATATGAGGGAAAGAGTAGAACAAAATGCTTTTAGGAAAAATAAGGTCCTGAGTATGAGGGGGACAAAACTAGTGTCAAGAGAATGCCAGGCTGGAATCTTGTGTGCCAGTGTTTTTAATGATTTGCCTGATGGTCCCTGAGGGTAAATTTCAGCTCAGTTGTTGGGCCACTCAGTGGTGCCCTGACCTTCTAGAGAAACCTCGGTTATATTTTGAGTTTTGTGCACCACTCTGATAGCGAAGAGATAAAACTCATAGCCAGCACTGACCATTTTAGTTCAGACAGAAAAAGATGCAAAAACTCCCAGAAACAGAAAACAGCCTCTAGCACAGAACAGTGTGCTTGACTACAGAAAGAGTTGCATAGTTTCCTGGAATCCGAGGCAGTGACTCTTAGAGCTCACTTGGGCTTTGTAACCATGGTTTTCCAAGGCTAAACTGTATAAAAATAGAATACTTAGTTAAAAAAATAAAACCTAACAAATAAGCCACTGTTTCTTTGTGCAGTGAAACTGCTTCAAGTCTCCCAGAGCACAATCCCATGTAATCTGAATGTTACCCATATGTAATGAGGTCCCCTGGCATAGGCCATCTGCTTCCTTCCAGTCCCAGGGTGACTCCCAAGTTGCTCAGTGAATAGCACCAAGAAACCCTGGAAAGTACTCCACAGAGAGATTTTTGTGTATCAAAAACTCATCCTCTAGCACGAGGGAATATTTAGTATCCAAAGCCCCGTGTGTCTTTTCACCTCCCTCCTTCTCTGTCTTGGTCCTATAGTAAGTAGAATGATCCTCTGTAGATGCCTTCGCTCCATGACCTGAGTTTGTGAATATTTGTGATCCATGGGCCACAGCTCCACCTTCTACCCCTACTTTGCCATTGAGCCACAAATTCACAAGGAGAGAAGTAAGTGAAATTTGGGGAAAGCCTTCAGTGACTAACAGAAGGTGAAGGAGATAATACCTGTATGAGTGTTATTGTGCTCAGAGGATAAACTTATATTAAACTGGAAAGGATCCCGGTATCTGAATATTTTTCTTTTTCTTTTATTTATTGCTTTCAAAGATCTCCTGCTCTCTTGCTAATTTCAATAAATCATGACTTCCTGGTATTAAACAGCGTCTTGGCTAATATGATAATAAACTATCTGACTTTGCTACTCAACAACTAGTCTTCTTTGTCTGTATTTTTGTCTCCAGACAATTCATAGTCTACAGAGACACAGTTTATAAAGCTTCATAAAGCATGTTTACAGCTACTTACCATGCTCCACACATCAGGGTCAAGCAACTTCCCCTATCAAGCAGTGGTCTCTGACACCTAATGTAAAATTTATTGTTTTGCAACCCCATCTGATTTCCTTTCATATCATGCTCAGAAGTGTCAAAGCATGACTGTACACCAATTTCTTATAAATACCTTATGTGGATTTCCTCTATGAAAAATGATATAGTTCTGAAAAATAGATAAATTAAATATAATTTTAAAAGCACAAAGGAAGCTCATGTTTGAAATGTACCCAATAGTAAATCACTTTGTAACGTGCCTCGTTTGCTTTACTTTCAGCAAAATTCACTTCTGAAGCAATTCCATCATTCTATTACTGAATTTAACTTTTTTACAAGTAACCTGTTATATAATTATACGTTGCTTAGTAATAGGGTAAAGGCTACAGGAAAAGTTGTACTACTCACATATTTTCCAATTATATGTTAATAGTGTTATGCTTTCTTCCAGTGTTATAACGTTGTAATTCCAGTGTGAAAATGTAGCTCAATTATTTACTTGCTTGTTCTCATCATAAGCATAGACATCCGAAAAAATGAGGCAGAGGTTAAAAACATTCATGCCTTCCATTCTTTGAAGAAAAGTTCACTGTGATACTCCAGCATTGTTTGCTAATGGGCAATTTATGTAATGGAGCAATAATTTGTAAGGATTCTACCAATAGATAATGGTATCTTACCTTGTAGGGTCTACCATGTGGTCATATGGAGTAGGAGTGTATTGTTCCTGCCTAGCTATAATGGGAAAGTTCTGCAGAGCAGTTTTGTGTACTGCAAGAAATAACCATAGGAAGCAGAAGACATGAGTTTCCAGTTAGTCCCTTAACACTTATGTGTCTATGGTCAACTCACTAAACAGAGTTGAACTCAGTTTCTGCACCCGATAAGAAACACTAATCCTTGTCCTTCTTGTTTCACTGAACGTTAATAAAATTAAATAATGTATGTGGACATGTTTTGCCATTACAAATGCATTGTAAAGTGCTTACAATACGAAAAAAGGTCAATAAACCGTTCTGTATTATGTACACACTCAAGGATGTACTGGTCTCAGAGAGAGAATGTAAGGATAAAACATTTTACAGAAAACATGCTTTTGGAAAGTGAGTGTATCTAGGGAAGAGAAATACAAGACAAAGTTGAGAAAAACAGCAGCATCAGAATCAAAAGACTGGAATGAGAAAGCAGTGTGTAAGCCATAGAAATAAGACTCCATAGTAGCAAGTGGCAAATCCACCCAAATCCTAGAAGCTCAGAAAATGGTAGGCAGATATGGTGCCTGGGATTATGCATAATACCACTGAACATTAATGTATTTAATATTTTTATAAATGCAGTATTATAGTTATCAGCATAAAAATTTCGACCAACAATTCTGTGATGTTATCACTACATCCATATACAGATGAGGAAACTGGTCTTACAAATATTCAATCTTTGTCCGAAACAAAACAGCACATAATAGAAAAAAGAATTTACAGTACTCTACTCTAAAACCATGTACTTTCTTCTGTCTGACACAAGTACATTTTTTCTACCCTCTACTCCTCAAAGAAATAAGTAAAACTGTGAACATACACAAGCAGAAATCTGTGGCAGATTAACCACAAGAATTTCCTCAGCCTGCAATATATGACAGAAATTACCCACATAGAGTCCCTATATATTTTTTCTTTCTTAGATACTATCTATGATTTAATGAAGAAAGAGAACCATACTGTGGTGAGTGAGTTTGTCCTTCAGGGTTTCTCCAGCCTCCATGAATACCAGCTCACACTCTTCATCGTGTTTCTTGCACTGTACATATTAACCCTGTCGGGGAATGTCATCATCGTGACCATCATAGGTCTGGATCATCATCTCCACACCCCCATGTACTTTTTTCTGAGCATGCTGTCAGCTTCAGAGACTGTGTATACACTCGTCGTTATACCAAGGATGCTCTCTAACCTCGTAGGCCTAAATGAGCCCATTTCTTTAGGAGGCTGTGCCACTCAGATGTTCTTCTTCATCACTCTGGCCATCAACAACTGCTTTCTGCTCACAGCCATGGGATATGATCGCTATGTGGCTATTTGCAACCCCTTGAGGTACTCAGTCATCATGAATAAGAGGATGTGCATTCAACTTGTGTGGGGAGCCTGTGGCACTGGCCTAACTGTGGCAGTGACACAGGTGTCTGCTGTGTTTAGGCTGCCCTTCTGTGCCAGTGAGGTGGCTCACTTCTTCTGCGACATCCGACCTGTGATGAAGCTATCCTGCATTGACACTACTGTCAATGAGATCCTGACTCTAATCATCAGTGTCCTGGTGATTCTGGTTCCTATGAGCTTGATTTTTATTACTTATATCTTTATCATCTCCACCATCCTCAAGATTGCTTCTGCTGAAGGCCGAAAGAAGGCTTTTGCCACCTGTGCTTCTCATATCACTGTGGTTATTGTCCACTATGGCTGTGCCTCCATTGCCTACCTCAAGCCCAAGTCAGAGAACACCAAGGATGAGGACCAGCTGATCTCTGTGACCTACACTGTCATCACTCCCCTCCTGAACCCTGTGGTGTATACCCTGAGGAACAAAGAGGTCAGGGAAGCTCTGTGTAGGGCTATTGGCAAAAAACTGTCTTGATGGGATGAACGACTACAAATAGAGCCTTACAAGATTCCTTAGATATAGGAAAGTGGAGCCATGACACAATCACTAAGATTCTGGAGTCCTTTAAGAAGTGATTTGGTGAGAGAAGGCAAGAACAAAGGAACTATGGATCCAGCAGTTGAAAAAATGGAGATAGTTCTGCAAAGCACAAGCAAGAGTGCATCTCCCAAGAAACCAGGGCTGAAGAACTCATTGGTGTTGGAAAGACGTCAGAATGTCTGGGCAGCCTGAGACAGAGTAGGGCCAGAATCGCAGAAAGAATTAATGAGGAGAGGCTGCTGTACGTGAGATAAAGCTTTAAATAGATTCCATAGCACTGGTTTTTTGACATGCATTTCCCTTTACTCATTCAGAGGTATGTAGTTTTAACACCTAACTGAAGTCATTTCTTCATGGACAATTCAAGTTCTTTTGCATCAGAGATACCATAAATAAAATGGACTGGAAATAACCATCTATAAAATTCAACAACCCTCTAAGTTTGGATCTTGTTCCTATAAGTTTCGGATTGGCCATATGGAAAAATGGATATCTATATTTGCAGGCTCATGGAAGAGAAATATTTTTGGAAAGCGATTAAAATCCCTTGATGGTCAAGTTAACAAAAGAGATAGTACCAGTAATCATATCAGCATTTTACACCATGAGAATATATAAAAGTCATCAGTGACACTATATGTGAATGTCTATACGCAGGAAAATAAATTGCAATTTTTGGAGATACTTGCAGAATGCATAGAAGCTACTAATAAAAAGACCTGCAAGAGAGAAATCTATGGGAGGAATTGGTTGGGCAAGAGAACTGAGATGAAGTAGAGAGGGAAGTAGCCATCTGGTAACTCCATGACTCTGTAAAAGAAGAAGGTCATCAAACCACCTATCATCACTTAAGGTCCTCTAGACTCTTGGTTAATACATCATCTGTCCCTAGTCACCTCCACTTCCAACAACTCCTTCCCTCCAGGCTGTCATTCACCCCACACAGCCCACACTTCTACAGCTCCTAGCGATGTGTAGTTTCCCTTTTCTTATTATGCCCTCATGACGTTTCATAGCTACTGTCACCTAATGGACACCACTCACTGCCATCCTCTAGGCTTGCCCAGGCAGCCTTTCTCAGGCAGCCTCTCCTACTCATTCTGAAACTCCAAATTCAGGCATCTCTTTCTGTATGCATCCTCTAATGAAAGACCCAAGAAGCAATCAATCCCAAACACCCAACTTCCAAACTCAAAAATCCATATATGACTATAATGCACACTTGCCGTGCTGTCTTTAAAGGTGACAGTGTGAAATAGACAGTGAGTGATATCATAACTAGGCGGAATGTTTGCTAGAGGGACAGTTCCACATCAGTGTTTAATGTTTCATCAAGTGATGTGTTTTGACCAGACCACAACTTCCTTTATGTTAATTGTAAAACTAGGATTAAATTTGCGTGACATGATTTTCCAAACAACTCATTAAAGTTTAGTCTTACACAGGTTAAATTATATTTTTTAAAAGTTTATGGTGAAATTCAAGAGAACCCAAAAGTGAGTTAGCCTGTATTTGGCAACGATTACATTTAATTTTATTCAGTAAGTTAAAATGCCTTATTTATATTGTTGACAGTAGCCTTGAAAATGTCGTCCTGTCTCTTTAATCTTCTCCGCAATAGATAATCTATAGCTGAAAACTTAGTTCCTTTAAATGGTAGGTGGTAGTTTTTAGAGATCAGCAGAATTCAGAGGAAAGAACATAAACACTGACATAAAAAGACTCCATTTTGAGTTCTGAATCTAGTTATTTGCTATATATATTTGAGTGAATTGTTTAATTTCTGAGTCTTAATTTCCTTATCTTTAAAACTTATGTGAAGTTTTTTTATTAAATACAGGAGGCAATAAGTGCAAAAGACAAAACAGGAACAAATATCCTTTATTCTTGTTAGAATAAGAAAACGCTTTTATTTTATAACTATAAACTGCAACTTTCTTTATCAGCAGAATTGGTTGATCTCTCCCTGCTCTGTTTTTCTCATTGAACTACTGTACAAATCAACTACACTAGAATAAACTCAGTGGAAATTACTGTGAAAACAACAGTGTTAAGAAATACAGTGTATTATTTCCATTGTTATCATGTTTTTGTGAATATAATTCCTATGTTCTTACCTAACTTTTTCTTACCATTTTATATTATTTTACTAATCACTTACTAACTTTTACCTCCCTCCCACATACGCCTAAGTCTTAATTATTGTTCCATCTGTCATTGTCTTAAGGTCATGTATTTTTGGTCTCCTGCAAAAGAATATTTCCAAAGCATTGCTTTTCTGCCTGGTTATCAATTCCTGTAGTTAACAACTGGCCTTTTGTTCTGCATCAATTTCCTCCATCAACTTCAGTGAATTTCAAACTCTGTAATGACCCTTGGCCCCCCAAAACAAAACAATGTTATAACATGACCTGGTGTGTATGTATGCCTCTGTGTGTGCATGTGTATAGAAACACATGCTTGTGAAAACAGAAATACAACATTCATGAAACAGTACTTAGCCTTATCTCAGACAATGTAGTCTCATGTTTTTCATTCCAGTTTATTCTGTTCTCTTCTATTTGAGCTTTTGTGATTAATCTTAATGAACAGGGGGGCATCTACGTACATTCTGACTACTCAATGGCTGACTTAAAATTTGCTTTCAATTTAAGTCAGTGCTGAAGTCCAATTATATAAGACTGCTATTTATGGGATGCTAAAATAAAATTAAAGCATTATTTTTTAAATTAGAGTTTTCATTGTTAGAATCTTGGTAATCATACTTAAACATTTGACATTTTAGAGATGAGACATTTATTTAGTCTTCATTGTTAGCTTAAAGATCATTCCAGCAATCACAAAAACACATACTCATGACATTAGGTAGATGTTCATTTTTCAACTAAGAAACCGGGATTGGTGGAGAAGCAAAATATCTTGAGAGAAATACTTCATGCTTCTTAAACACTTTCTTTATATTTTTATTAGCTGTAAATTAAAATAATTTATCCCAGATATTGTCCTATATGTTTCAGGAAGTAAAATTAAAATCATATCGTAAATTCACGTGTATAAATTGTGAAGATTTGTCACTAATATGGAATTAAGAAGCTATAAATCAATGTCAGTGCTTCAAGTTTCTTTAGAATCGCCAATTTTAAATTTTATAAACATTGGCTTAAAGGGATATATTTTTCTAAAGCTGTTCAATAACACATTCTCTCTTATGTAAGTCAATTTATTTCCTATTTACTTTTTTTTTTTTTTTTTTTTTTTTGTCTTTTTTGAGACTGGGTTTCACCATGCAGTTCAGGCTGGCCTTGAGCTCACTTTGTAGCCCAGGCTGCTCTTGAACTTGCAACAATCCTCCTACGTTAGCCTCCTGAGTGTTGAGATTAAGAAATGTGCCATCATAACCAGCTTTTCCTGTTTACTTATTTAAGACTCTTAAATTTTTCCAGAAAGTTAACAAACTAAGTTACCTTAAATTTTTCTTGCAATTTTCTCATGATAATCAATATAATGTACATTTCAATTGACTGATAGAATTGTAACATGAAAGTATATAAAGCTAACACAGACCAAGTCACAAATAAAATGAATAACAATATTTGAAAATACACATTCAAATGTTGAATTTGAATGACTTGTTCATATTGATCACTGATACTATTCTGGGATAAAAATATATTAATTGCCATTCTTCTTCTTCTTCTTTTAAAGGTTATTTTTTAAAGCATTTTATTTATTTATTTATTTATTTATTTGTTTATTTATTTTTATCAGTACCAGGGGTTGAACTCAGGACCGCCTGCTTGCAAGGCAGGCACCTACGTTGCGGAGCTAAATCCCCAGCCCCACCATTTTTCTTCTTGCAAAGCGATGCATAGTTTGTAAAACATTAGAAAATTATGCTGAAGAAAATGGAATCTTTGGTTTCTTAATGTTTGATACAATATATGAAGACATCCCGCATTTTTCCTTTACACGTCTCCAACTTTCCCTCTACCAAGTGCTAAAAGGGATAGACATTTTTCCAAGTACAGGGATTGATTTCAGGGCCTTTAATCTGAGCTATATCGTATTTCTTTCTATTTTGAGTCTGTGTCTCACTGAGTCTTTAATTTTTTTTATTTTTTATTTTTTATTTTATGGAAAAAGGGGAAATTTTCATTACAAAATAATGGAAAATAACAAAAGCTAATAATTACATGTTGCATAGGATATGAGATAATGAGTATATAAAAAATTCTCCAATTGATATTAGCAGAAACTTTTTTTAATAAACTAAGAAACATCAATAGTAAAACTGACCTACATTGTTTTACCTTTTTCCTACTGTTCCTTCTCCTTTTACCCATCCTAGTTCCTTTTGAACAAATTCTTTGCATTACACAATACCTGTTGCACACTTTAGAACTTATTTACTCTTTCAATTTCTCACACAAAGGAGACAATCTGATATTTACACATGCAAGTCTAATTTATTTCATTTATTAATATGGTCTCAAGTTGCATCCTTTTTACCTGTAAGGCTCAAGGTTTTCCTTATTTATGACTCAATAGTACTTCATTATATTAAAAAAATCTTTTTTATCCATTCCTCAGTTGATGGGCATTTAGGTTGTTTCCAAGATTAAGCTATTACAAACTGTGTTTCTTGAAACATGAGTATACATATGTCACTGTCATATGATGTTTGCACAGCAATAGAAATCACCAACAAAGTGAATACACAAGCCATAGCACAGGAAAAAATTTTAATAAATTTTCTCTCAGAAAAGGAACTTCTATCTAGAACATTTAAAAAATGGACTTCCAAATTCAAAGAATCACTCCCAAAATGGGCATCTAAAATGAATGCATATTTCTCAGATGAAGAAATACAAATGACAAATAAATATATGAAAAATGTTCAGCATCACTGATCACTCAAGAAATGCAATTATAAC